GGTTTTTATTCTGCCCTGCTGAAATTATCAAAAAAGCAAAGGCAGTGGGCAATTACAGCTTTAGTCACCAGAGCTAATGGAGCAAATTCAAATAGTTCACATTATTTCACTTTGTAGCTGTGTCAACAAAATCACTCTAATCTATTCATCATTTCTTCCCCATTCACTAAGCTGCTCTAAAGTATCCCAGCATCCAACCATCCCTAGGGTCTGCTTTTCTAAAGTCACTAATGGCTTATATGTAAGGTCCCAGGTGCCAAAACTAGTAACTGCTAAGAAGTATCAAAGAACACCTTTGGCTGAAAAATATATTGTTCCCACATTTATAAAAAAGCAGTATCATTCAAGTGTTTAGACTCATTTTAGGACACAGAAGGTACCCATTATATTTTAGGACATGGAAGATACCTATTACACCTCAAAGTCAAGGCTCCTTGATACAGGCACTTCTTTTCCTGGCCTGTTACGGATTTTATTCTTTTAAAAAGCATGTGATCAAGAACAAGCTGTGGGCTACCTACCTGGGCTTCCTCTTCTTCAGTAAAGTCATTTTTGATATTGAAGGTCTTGCGAATCTCTTCAGGAGTTTTCCCCTTGATCATATTGGCAACAGTCTTGCATGTAACATCAAGCAAACCTTTGATGTCTAAATAGTTTGCAGCCTGTAAAGTGATTGTTTTCATTAAAGTATATTTGATGTTTTAAACTAACTCGCAAGTTAGTGGCTGATAATGCATATCTAATTAAGCTTAAAATGCTAATTAATTTTAAGAAAGTGAAGAAGAGTAAATCAGACACATTTTGTGAAAGATATTTGTTCATCCCCTTCACTGCATACCTCTTTAATACTGAGTCCTCGTGCTGCCTTAAGTAAACCACATACACTACACCTCATGCTGCCTTAACTATATATACTACACCTCAAATGTTAACAACGGCCACTAATAATGTATGTATGTGCGCATGCACAAGCACATCAAATCTTGACAAAATATTTAAAGAATTCAAACATAAGCAGCTACTGCATTACATTTTATTGATCTTCTGAAATAATCAGCTTTTTGTTTCTTTGATTTTCTCTACTGTTTTCCCATTTTCTATTGATTTCTGCTCTTTAACATTCTGTTTTTCTCAGGGTTAATTTCATCTATCACTGGTTTCTTTTGCTAAAAGTTTAGATCACTGATTTGCGACTTTTCTTCTTTTCCAATATAGGTGTTTGCTATCAATTCCTCTCTAATACTACTATAAGCTGCATCTCACAGATTTTCATGTGTTCTGCTTTATTTCCATTCAGTTCAAAATGCTTTCTAATATTTCTTTTGATTTCTTCTTTGACTCATGGGTTACTGAGAACTATGTTATTTCGTTTCCAAATATTTACAGATTTTCCAGATTGCTTTGTTACTAATTTCTAATTTAATTCCATTGTGATCAGAAAACACACACTCTGTGTGACTTGAATTCTTTCAAACTTAAGACTTATTTTATGGCCCAGTATATGCCTAACCTTGACACTATTTACTTTAATATACACAGAACATATATTCTGCTGTCATTAGATGTAATGTTCTGTAAATGTAAATTAGGACAAGTTGATCAACACTGTTACTTAAGTCTTCTTTAACCTTACTGATTTCTGTTTACTTGTTTTTATCAATTATTTATAGGCAGGCGTGGAAATCTAACTATGATTGTAGATTTGTCTATTACCCTTTGAGTTCTGCTGGTTTTTGTTTAACTTTCTGGAAGTTCTGCATTTAGGCAGATCAGTGTTTAGAACTGTTATGTCCTCTTAATAATGAACTGATTTCATTATCATTATGCAATGACCCTCTTTAATCCTGGTAATATTCTTTGCCCTGAAATCTACTTTAATATAGTCACTCCAGTTTTCTTTTGGTTAATGTTAATATCATATATTCCGCCCCCACCCCAAACCTAATGTGTCTTTATATTTATTTTTTATTGTTTTAAATCCTCACCCAAGGCTCTATTTTTTCCATTGCTTTTTAGAGAGAGTGGATGGGGGGAGGTGTGAGGGAGAGAAACATCGATGTGAGAGAGACATATCAATTGGTTGTCTCCCAAATGAGCCCCGACCAGGGCTGGGGATCAAGCCTACAACTGAGGTACATGCCCTTGACAGGAACTGAACCTGGGACCCTTCAGTTCTTGAGCCAACACTCTAACCGCTAAGTCAAACTGGCTAGGGCTATTTTATATTTAAAGTGAGTTTTTTGTAGACAGCATAGCTGAGTCTTGCTTCTTTTTAATCCAATGTTACAATCTCTACCCTTTCATTGTGGTTTTTAGACCATTTACATTTAATGTGATATGTGGATTTGAGTTCAAAGTGTTAAAATTCAGTTATCAATTAATTTAACAAATTAAACTCTATAAGAAGTGCTAAAGGATCTGAAGTAGAGTATCTTATAGCATTCATTAGAAACATACCAGAACCCAGCTGGTGTGGCTCGGCGGTTGAGCACTGACCTGTGATCCAGGAGATTAAGGTTCGATTCCCGGTCAGGGCACATGCCCAGGTTGCAGGCTCGATCCCCAGTGAGGGGTGTGCAGGAGGCAGCTGATCAATGACTCTCACTGATGTTTCTGTTTCTCTCTCCCCTCCCCCCCTTGGCATCAAAAAAGACATATTTAAAAACATATATACATACACCAGAACAGCAGCTCTCTCTATGGAGCATGCCTGCACATTTCCCCATCCCTTTCTTTCTCCAGTGTGCTCTTTTTCCAGGGCATGCCTGTGCCTCTCCTCCCTCTTTCATCCCTCATGGCTCATACCTCTCTCCCCTCTTTCTCCTAAGCTCCAAGGGCAGTTCTACTACCTCTGTAACTTTCTAAATAAACTTTCCCTTATATATATAAAACACACACACAGAAACACAAAAACATACCAGAATAAGTTCAAAAAGTGTTCCTTGGTCAACTTTGAGGAATTCTTGGTCCCAAACAGGGATATCATCTGTTCGCTTTTCTTTGTTCTCATCATCCTCAGGAGGAGGAGGGTCATCCTTGTGGTGGGTGCACCACTGAATGACCTACAACAAAAACAAAAGTTCATTCCTCTGTGGTATTTTGTCACACGGTAGTCATTCCACTGCTGGGGCAAAGTTATTCCTATACTGAGCTAAGAATTAGCTAGAAGCTGACTAGAATAATAAAGTTAGCAGCCAAGCTTGAAAAGCAAAAATGAAGTTTGAGGAATCTTCACAACTCTAGAGAGTGGAAGACCTTAGATAACAGTAAATCCTGCAGACAGATTACTGTACTTGACCACATTAAAAACCTCTTGTGCAAAAAATATATATAAAGTCACACAAGACAAGGACTGGGAAGTACCTACAACATGTACAACCAGCAATGGATTACCCTACAGAATCTAAAATCTTAAAAATCACTATAAAGAAATACTAAAAATAAATAGGCAATTCACAAAAGAAATCTGAATAGTGAAACAAGAGGAAATGCTCAGCCTCACCAGATGCAAATTAACACTTTGGTCATATGCAACTAGTTTAGATTGCCAAAAAAAAAAAACACCAAGATTTTGATACTGATTATTTACAATAGTATGAGGATAACAAACTCTTCTACAGGAAAGTATAAATTGGAATAACCCCTCTGAAAAGTAATCTAGCACTACCTAGTGAGACTGAGTATATGCATACATTACCACCAAGCAATTCTAAATACCCAAATACACAAGACTATTCAATGTAGTAACAAAGCAAAAAGAGCCCAAATGTTCCCTTACTAGGCGAATGAACACATTATAATTAAATTTTCAGGAAGCTGATCACCTAGACTATGCATACCATTATAAAGACCAAAATCAGCAATAAAAGTATTAAGTTGTAGAATCTAAGTGGTGGGCAAATGGGTGTTTTCTGTATGATTAACATTTTTTCACAGTATTTAATATTGGGGGGAAAAATGCTGAGGAAAAATGGCAGAGCCAAGAAATTATACTGCCAGGATGCAAAAAACGAAAAGAACTATTTCTAGAAGGGAAAGCCAAGCATAAAGGACTTTAATGAAATAAACAGCAGCTTTTTATGAAGTATTCCAGTTGTGTAAGAAAAAGAGCCTGGGCCCTAGCCGGTTTGTATCAGTGGTTAGAGCACTGGACAACAGACTACAGGGTCCTAGGTTCAATTCTGGCCAAGGGTACGGTACCTTGGTTGCAGGCTTGATCCCCAGCCCTGGCTGGGGCTCATGTGGGAGGCAACCAAATGATGTGTCTCTCTCTCACACCGACGTTTCTCTCCCCTGCACTCCCCTGTCCTCTCTCTGAAAAGCAATGAAAAAACTATCCTCAGGTGAGGATTTTAAAAAAAGGGAAAAAAGAGCCCTATTGGTGTGGCTCAGTGGTTGAGCACTGACCCATGCACAGGAAGTCATTGGTTCAATTCCTGGTCAGGGCACATGCCCAGGTTGCAGGTTTGATCCCCAGCACAGGGCTTGCAGGAGGCAGCCAAGTGATGACATTTCTATCTCCCTCTCCCTTCCTCTCTAAAATTAATAAAAATATATATAAAGAAAAGAAAAAGAGCAATTAGTATTTGTTTACAGGGGCATTAAAAATTCTTAAAAGGATATGCAAAAAATTTATGTTTATTATTATTATTTATAGATATTTCTGGTCAGATGAGAGACAAGAGATTTTAGTTTTTGGATTATGTGGTTATTCAATATACTTAAGGTTTAAATAATCTTAATAATGCAAATAGGTTAAAAAAAGTTCATTCTCAGAAGTGGCCCTATATCACCCAGCCCATCAGCTCTGACCTTCTCTACTACACTACGTCCTTGCTTGTTCATTATGCTCTAGCCACCTCAAAAGGTAGGGTGGCATGCTCTTGTCTTAAGAGTCAATGCACTTGTTCCCACTGTCCAGAATTCTCTTTCCCCCACAGTCTGACTTTGTTGAAAGACCATCTTCTCAGTAAGGCATTTCCTAATCACCTTTATTTTTAAAATAACTAACTCTCCACCTACCAACCCACTTATAATCCATAGCTTTTCCATCTGACATATCTTATGTTGTACATTTCCCCCAACAACTGGAATTTGAATGAATGCAAGCGAAACTTTTAGAAGCATTTTACATTAATGTAAAGTAGAATATTAATTGCAAGACAATACCTAGAAACCAGAAAGGAAATCTACAACTAAATAAAATCTAAAACTTCTAAGCCATAAAATACTATGAGTTGACATAAGACAAGCAAAATGGTAGAAACTCTATATAAAGAACTCCTATAAAAAGCCCACTAGACTACAAAATGGATGAACCTTGAAAACATTATGCTATGTGATATAAGCCACACACAAAAGAATACTGCAATAATCCCATTTATATGAGGTACCCAGAATAGTCAAATTCACAGAGACAGAAAATAGAATAGCGGTTATAAGCCCTGACTGGGTAGCTCAACTGATTAGAGCGACATCTCAATACGCCAAAGCTGTGTGTTTGATCCCAGGTCAGGGCACAAACAGAATTAACCAATGAATGCATAAATAAGTGGAAGAACAAATCTCCCCCTCCTCCCAAATCAATCAATAAAAATAAATTTAAAATAAAATAAAAAAGAATAGTGGGTACAAGGGATTGGAGGGGGCTAACAGGGAATTATTGTTTATGGGTCCAGAGTTTCAGTTTGGGATGATGAAAAGATCTCCAGGATATGTTCAGTTCTGGAGATGGTTAATGGTGATGATTGTACAACAATGTAAATGCCACTAAACTGTTCACTTAAAAAAATGGTAAACTTTATGTTATGTTTCTTACCACAATTTTTTTAGAAGCCCATTAGAAAGATAGGCAAAGGAAAACAGAAATACAGAAAATATAAATGGCCAGTAACATGTAAAAAATGTTCAGGCTTAGAGAAGAATCACTTTTTACCTAGTCCAGGGGAATTAAAAAGACTGGTAATAGCCAATTGAACTAAGAGTATGGAAATATATATAATGCAGTTACATCTCATACCAGGGTCAAGAGGAAGCATAAGATGAAAGTGCACATGATTGATGACCTTTGAAAAATCCCTTAAAAAGGGGCCAACTAGAGTAAACTATTTCCTTCTCTAAGCCCAGCTACTTTTCCCCCAATGTGGAAACTGGTTGCTGTTTTTTTCAGATAAGAATTCAATTCAAATAGCTGGCTCTGTTAAGGAGCCATGTGACCTGAAACACTAAAACCCTATTCAAGGTGGAGAGCCATTTATGCTTAGACACCAGGTAAGGTGATCAACTGAGATAACTAAAGAACATCTCTTATTCTCAGGCTCCCTTTGAGGCATACCCATTCAGTGGACAAACAACACAAAAATTTTCCTTTTTGCTAATTACATACAGCTATATTTAAGTAATTTAAATGTGTCAATGGAAAAACTAAACAACTCAAACATTCACAGGGCCTGGTTAAATAAACTACAACAAATATTTAAGAGTCAATCATACTACACAGAGTTTTGTTTCTTATTTTAAAAAAGGAAGCTATCTCTGTATCAACATAAAAAGATCACCAGGATATTGTTAAACGAAAAAGAAAAATACATATACAGGTATATAGTTCGCTAGTTTACCTTTTTTAATATTGCTGCATTAACATTTGGTAGAGGAACTGGGTCATCATCACCTTCATCATCCATTCCCAAATCTAACAAAACAAGAGAGTTGCCATTATTTCCTAACTCCATTACAACATTTATACAAAACCAGGCTATTTTTCAAGTAAGTAACTAGCATGACATGTCTGAAAGACTACAAAAGTACTTTACTAAATCGCCCGAAACTATATAAAGTTGTGAGTGGACAAATACAGGAATATTTTATCAAAAGAGTTCTTAAATAGGAGGAAAATGATTTAATAAGTGTGATTGAGATGGCAGCCATTTAGGAGAAAAAAAACCAAACCCTTATCTTTACTCTTTATACTAAACTCTCTAGATGGACTGCATTTAAAAAAATAAAACAATGATAAGTATCACATGTAACAGAATCTCACACAACACACACAACAGATCATGCAGCCACTGACAAAAACAAGGCAGGCAGCTCCATACATACTGGTATAATTTCAAGATTAAAGTTTTTAAAAAACCGGTCTAAAAAAATACCTGAATAAAAAAGGGGAATATATATATTTAAAATATCTCCATAAGAATGCATAAGGAACTGTTAAAAATATGTCTAGGGAAGTTAATGAGAATGTGGGTTGAGTGATTCAGTTTCAGGGTATAACCTTTAGTGTTATTGATCATGTACACGATTACCTGTAATTTTGAATCTGTTTCTCTGGTAAAAAGACCTAACTTTCAGATTCTAAAGTGGCTGGAAAACTCCAAAGACAAAACTTTACATAAAAATCCATGTTACTTAAAGATTTGTCATTAAAGACTCTATATAATATTTTTCAAACCAAATGGGTCTGTCCTTTGGTTTCTACAAGACTAAAAAAAAAGCTGCCAAAGAAAGTGACTTAATAGTTAGCACGTACCAAGATTAGAGGCCAAAAGTTACTACAGTACTATTTTCATGTAGCACAGTATCAGTTATGCTGACATGGCAAGTGCTGAATCAAACAGTGTAGTCCCTGATATATCCAGGTGCTGTCCTAGGCAGTTGAGTCAGCAATGAATACAGGATGGAAGGAATTGGTGCAATTTTAGAACAGATCAGGCTGTCTCACTGACAAGATATTTCAGTATAATTTCAAAGGAAGAGAGAACACCTAAGCAGAGGGAATGGCAAATAAGTGCAAAGGCCTTCTGATGGGAGTGTCTGGCATGTTCTAAAAACACTAAGGAGTCTATTGTTGCTATCGCAGGATTGGCAAGGGTGAAAGGAACACATGAGGTCAAGAACGGGGGGCCTGCTAGTAATAGGGCCTACATTTTGGCTACTGTAACAGATGATAAGAGCAGAGGGAAACCAATTACGGGGCTAGCAATAATCCAGGTACAACATAGTGGCTCAAGATTTATAGCTATAGAAAAATTAAGAAATGGTATAATTCTGTATGCGTTTTGAAGGTAGAGGCAATAGAATTTGCCAAAAGATGGGAAGTAGAATGTGAAAGGAGTCAGAAGACTAAGGTTTAAGACATGATGAACTAGGTGGAGTTGCCACTGACTGATATGGGGAAGTCTGTCAGAGAACTGTGATTTTGGAAGGAAGAAAATCAAGAACTCTACTTTCATATGTTTGAGATATCAATTAGATACTAAGAGTAAACCAAGTGGCTAAATACACAAGTCTAAAAAATCAAGAGATGAGAACTGTAGGTAAGTTTGGGAATTGGTGTAGTTTATAACACCATGAGGCTAGATGAGATGACCAAGGGAATGAATCAGTACAGATACAGTAAAGAGGTGCAATGATTAAGTAAGCCCTAGGGAACTTCAGGTTTTAAAGACAAGGAGACAGAAGGCTGTCAGTGAGGGACAGTACTAGAAGTAAAGTATCCTGGAAGCCAAATGTAGAAGAGAATAACTTGTCAGATGCTGTCAAAAGGTAGAGATGAGAAATGAAACAGATGATGCACCTGACAACATGAAGTGTAGATTCAAAAAGTATCTTATTTCCCTGTATGTGTTAGGGTTACTCATCTCCCCTCTCCATATCTTATTTTCCTGTATTTGTTAGGGTTACTCATCTCCTCTCTCCTCTTTCCCACCAATGTCTTTCCCTGATCCCATCTTGCCCAGAGTAAAACTATATGATAATATTCTGTCCTGACCAATGTGGCTCAGATGGTTGAGCACTGTCCCATGCACCAAGAGGTTGCCGGTTGATTCTGGGTCAGGGCACATGCCCAGGTTGGGGGCCTGATCCCCAGTATGGGGGGGTAGGGTGCACAAGGCAGCTGATCGATGTTTCTATCACTGATGTTTCTCTCTCTCCCTTTCTCTCTAAAATCAGTAAAAACATATTTTAAATAAATCAATAATAATGTCCCAATTTAGATCAAGCCACTTACCCTTTTCCTGAAGTAGTAAAAATATTTTTAATCAGAAGGGAGAGAAAAAAGTTTTACTCTGTAAAATACTTGTGTTTGAGGAATTAAGATTTCGAGAAAAAATACAAAAGACCCATCTTGTTTAGATCCAAATGTTATTTGGAAGAAGGCTTAAGTCACATTAAAAATATGGGCCTTAGCCCTGGCTGGTGTGGCTCAGTTGGTTGAAGAGTTGTCCAATGCACCAAAGGGTCTCAGGTTCAATTCCCAATCAGGGCACAAACCCAGGTTGCGGGTTTGATCCCCAGTCAGTGGCATACAGGAGGCAACCAATCGATGTTGCTTCTCTCTCACACTGATGTTTGCTTCTCTCTCTCCCCCGCTTCCTCTCTCTAAAATCAATAAAAAAATAAAGGCCTTATGGTTGTAAAGGATTATTTCTCTAACCTTTAAACTAAGGATTTACCATGTTTTTTTGCTTTTAAACTGAATGCACAAGTAGTAATTCCTTTAAGCTATTTAGTTTCAAAGACTTCTGAAAGACACCTGTATCCTGATACCACACTCCTGTACCTGAACAAGTCAGTCAATCCACATGTACAAAGCCAAGATTTTCACTTTTGATTGTCCTGTGATCAGAAGTTTGTATTTATGTTTTCTGAGTCACAAAAAGACCCATAATAGAGATACATCAGATGCATAACAAGGAAGGCAGTAAGTTGCTGAATTCAATAGACTCTAGTCCTCAAGAGGCTAGACTTCTATGTAAACCATTGGTAATTATGACAAAGCCAAATGCTATGGAATCATTTAACTACTACTATCATTCCACTTGATTCAGTGATTAAAGCTGGTGTGGAAAACCCTTAAGGAGCCCTATGTTCTTACATTAGCAAATGCTTCTTTGAAGCAGCACGAGACAGATTAGTGTGCCAGGCACCAACTAAGATGAAATAAAGAACACTTTCATTGCCAAAGCAAGTATTCAGGCAGCAATTGTGGTATCAGTTTCTACATCTTCTAGACAAAGCCTTACTCACCTGCCCTTAGGGACACTTGGATTGTTTTCACACTCTTTTATTAGTGACCATACCATAGTTCTTCATTCAACAGGTACTTGATGGACAGTGACTGTGGGATGTACCAAGGGGTTTACAACTTAATAGAAATGATCTATGTATGTAAGTTACCAGGACACAGGAATGTAAGTGCCACATGATTGGTATCAACGACCAAAAAGAATTACATATTCAGCTTTTATTAGCAAACAGAAGTCACACACTGAGAAAACCCTCTACAGTCAGCTTCTGCCTCTACCACACCTATTTCTGCTGTGAGAAGTTTTCTATCTTACTGTGAAATCCTAAATATCAATCAGAAGTATATGAATCCAATAATCACTCTGTCCACCTCAAAATGCCTCCCTCTTTACTTGGCTTCCACAAATACTACTTTACTTCTGACTTCTAGACTCCTGCCCTAATATGGCCACCTGCCAACTTCATTTACTGCCACAGATACATACTTTCGTAATCCACCATACAAAGTAAGTCTATCTCCAAGAGTCTAAAACCCAGGGACCAAGATCCACATCCTCAACTGCCTATAAACTGTTACAAAGATCTATTGAAGGAATCTCAAAAACATATAACATGTTCAAGCTCGAAGCCATTTTCTTTCCATTCCTCTCAAACCCATTCAGCTCTACCAACTACGGTATCACAATCTCACCCTACCTCAAAAACCCCAACTAAAAACCTTGACTTTACTTTTCTCCAACACATCCTCTCTCTACTGCAGAACGATCTCCCAAAACATCCTAATTGTACTAGATTTGAAATATTACCTCATTTGGACTACACACTGCAGTCTCTCCACAAGCCTGAAGAATAGCATCAGCCAAGATATTCCCAGAGCACCACTTGGCATACAACTTTATTAATGCACTAGTTATAACACATGACAGTTTCACTTGTTTAGTGTCTGTCTCCCTTCCTGGTTTAAAAATCCTTCAAGGGCAAGGACTATTTCTCACTTACCTTCTTTTCACCGTAGGTAGTGCTTGGCACATAACTTCCCTTCACTTAAGTATCTATAAGCTACAGATCTTCCCTACATAAAAACATTTGACACTTAAGTAGTGAAGAACACTCTTATTACTACTAAGTTTTCCCCCCCAATTCTAGAAACTGACTTGTGTGTCTCCATATTATATTAATGTCCACCAGCCCAATGGTAATACTGAGAGATCCATATTAACTAGTAAACATTTCAAAATGTTTCAGATTCTGTTTTCTGTCCTACTTCTTTGTTGTGCTGCACATATACGTTGCAGCAGTTTCAGAGGAATGACAAACTAGACAAAAGGGAAAACTTGGTTAAAAAAAACAAAAACACATCTACTCGGTTTACAATCTACTCAGTTTACTCCCTCTGTTGAAACAAGGTACTCTATTTAGCTACCTTACAGAAGGGATCTCTTTTTCAAAGGCTTTAATTTTTGTCATTAGAAACTGTGAATCTAAATTTACTTGAAACAGAAAATTGGTCTTATCTATTTAAAAAGGGGAAAAAAAATCTCATTAATTCAGACAATGCATAAGGGATGACCTGTATCAGAAAAATGCAGTTAATAGTTTAATTCTGAAAGAGGTAAATTTCACCCCTTCATACTCTTGAGCACTTTGACAGATTGTTACTTGTATAAATTCCATGTTCACAGGTTATCTCAAACTACTTATTTTTTGCCCTTTCCCCTGACCCAGGTTTTCAAATAAACTTACCTTCTAACATGGTCTTGATAGTCACAGATTGTTTGGCAATTTCAACATCAACTTCAAATATCTCTCCATCAGAACTCTGCAACTTAATTGAAGGCATCTAAAAAAAAATGCATTATATTGAATTTGAAATCTAAGAGATATTAGTTCTATAAGACATTTCATCAACTACAGTCTGTTAGAAGCCCTCCTAATTATTAGCGATAAAATCCTAAGAACCTGTAGTATATAGCCCTGTAAAACACTGTAAGTGATTATTCACAGGCTAACATACAAGTGTTTCTATAAAACTTTTTCAAAATATAATTCCTAGGAACAGAAGCTTTTAAGGTCTGCCCTACTGAACTCATTGCTGGTATAAATTTAAAAAGTTATATTCCATACTTTTGATGCAAAATATATCTAAAATGGACTTACTCTTTTTGTCTGTATTTCTGCCTTTACTAAATACTGACTACTCCATTTGAATAGTTAACTGCCACAATTAACCACCTGCAAACCCAAGGGAGGTCAGTCCGAAATACACAAAGCTACCAAATAAGACAGTAATTTTCCCCTAGTGAGACTTAACAGTGAAAAATAAGTTCAAATCCAAAGATTCGATCAGGATATATTTATGTTTGGATCAATGCAAGATCGTATAACAGAATAAAAGATCTAAGGATAAGCAAATATCAATCTAATTCCCTAAGCCAAATAAGGAACTTAAATTGCACAGAGTCCTTTTTATCTTTCATTACTGACTGTCCAGGTGTCCAAGTTTGAGATCTTCTGCCAAAATCCTCATAGTAATAACCTACTACTTGCTTCAAAAATGTATTTATTAACTCAGATTAATTATGAGTTATTAGGAAAAAGACACCTCTTACTTAAAAGTTAATTAAGCAATTAACTTCAAAGGACTTGAATTCTGGCCAAAAAAGTGCTTTAAAATTAAAAATTCTAAGTTAGCAATTTTTTACCATCTTCACATTCTTGGGGGAAGAGGGTGTGTGGGGGGGGAGGGGAGGACAGCAATATTTGACTATATTGATTCAAGACCTCTTCAAATTTCAAGTATAGATTTTAAAGGCCCATGCTTCTGAGATAGTTATAATCTTGTAATGTCACTATTAACTTGATAGTGGAGAATTTGGCATTTAAAACATTCATTGCACCTTATTTTAGACTTAAAAATTTAAGACCCATTAAGTAAGTTAAAATATTCATTCAGATTTTCCCAGACAATTCTCTCTATCCCCCAAACAGACAAGCTGTTAGGGAAAGGAAGCAAAAAGGTAAAGATATGTTTTAAAACCAAGCACTGAAATATTCTGCTCTCACTGATCCATGATTGTAAAGAATCGAATTTCACTTTTCAGTTCACAAATATGTCTGCTTCTCCTTGTTGCTTAGCGTTGCCAATAATGCAGAGGGCCGAGGGCAGAGGACCTTGGCTGTGACAAGGCAATAATAAAAGTTATCTCCAAAAGAAATATTTTAACGTGAGCCCAGTTTTTAATTACAAAACAGTCTATGTCCTTTTTATGTCCTGTAATACTGGAATACACATTACAGAATCACAAGTCTGGCAATGCAGTTGATAAAATTATTTTTAAGCAGGTGACCATTTCACATTTCTTTCAAATAACTCTCAATAAATAGCAAGATCTGCTTAGTCATAGTCAAATTCGTGTATTAGGTTACTCTTAAGGGAGTTGAGGTCTTATTAAATAGCAGGGAGTCAATCGTCTAATCTGTAATTTGATGCACTTTGCAATCCTAAACTTAACATTTAAAGACAACTTTTTTTTAGTGTTATACAACTGGAATTTGGTGCAGAATTTTTAAGTAATGGATGAAATTTTTATTTGACATGCTTCCAAGACTTCCTTCAATTCTTTAGGCTCCTGTAGTTGGAAATTAAATCACTCTCCGTAGCTAGCATGATGTGGGTTCTATCAACATCATAAAGGGGAAAAAAAAACCTGTTTTAAGTGACCCGAAATTCTGACACCTCTTTTCAGAGGGCAGAGTGGAGAAGTCTACATTGCTCTACGACAGATACATTCTATTGGGACGCTCTGACACACAAAAAAAATTCATGACCCAAAAACCCAAACCTTAAGTCTCCATTAAAAAGTGAACAAAGCATGTGGACGTCCTATCCCTTCCAGACACCTGAAGTTTTATAAAGGTAGGGTTCCTAAAAGTCACACCCTGTTGACTATGGTACCTGCTATTACAACCGTTGTTTCACCAACTTTTTCCTTTTAAGATATATTTTTTAAAATAATAATAGAAATATTCAAAAGGAGCAGGCGGATATCTGCAAAGATTCGACCCCACCTCAGCTGGAGAGAGAACCGGTGAGTAGTGGCGCCAGAGACGGGAAAGGATGAGAGCCAGAATCAAGCACTCTCACCGCCACGCTCCCTGACACCAAAACAACACGGACACACGCCCACGCTCACAACAGCCAAGGGAACTCCATTAAAAGCCGCGCCGCCATTCCCGCCCTGGGTCCCCGAGGCCGGCAGACTCAATACTGAGGGAGGTGCCAGGCCGCAGCCTGGGCATTGTAGCCGAGCTCCTCGCCGGCTGACGCTGGCCCGGAGCAGAAAAGGCCTAATCCCGGGCTCGCCTCGCACCTCCTCCCGCCCGCCCCGGAGCCCAGGGGGCGTCGTGACGACGCACGACCAAAAGAGGCCTCGCCGAATGGAAGGGCTGAGTGGGAGAACGGAACCCGCCGGCACCTCCCGGAGAACGGAGTCTGAAACGAGTTGCACCGGGCCTGAGGGCAGACGAGGCCCAGGTGCCTCCCGCCTTAGGCAGGCCAAAGCCGCAGCGGTGCAGCCACCAGCTCGCAATCCGAGGCGCCACCGCCCCTTCCAGCTCTGCTGCCGGCTACTCACGGTGCTCGGTCTCAAGGAGAGAGCGGGACGGAGGCTGACGAGAGCGGGGAAGCGTCAGCAGGATCAAGAAAGAAAAGAGGACAACAAGGCCACTTATAGCAACAGCGCGGCTGGGCGTCCGCCTTTATATATCAGCGGCGCTGGCGTCGAGGACCCCGGGGCCAGTGGCGTCACAGAGCCGGCGGGGCTGGCCGCCGACTTCGCCTGACAGCAAGTGGAGATCGGCCGGGCGGCCCCGTGACGCCAGAGGGGTAGGGCAGGGCGAAGAGGCTGCGGGAGCGCGGGCGTGGCGAGGCGGGGCTTGATTCTTATCCCCGTCCTCGAAAGCGGGACTCCCAATCCTCAGAGGGAACAGGGAACTGGACGGTGTACTCTGCGACCTGCAAGGGTCTTTCAGGCAGGGGCTGCCCTCAGCCGAATTGAAGACCTCAGCTGCGAAAAGCCTAGAAACTGCTCGTGGGCGGGAGGGGGGCGCAGGGGGTGGTGCCTCGGAGCGGCTGCGGCTCTGGTTGCGGCTCGGGAGAACCCGGACTCCGAAAAAGAAGGCAGATGGGTTTTGCAGCAACGCTGAGATTCTGCCCAGGGTCTCAGTGCGCTCCACCGAACCTAACACAAGTTAGCTCACTGTGCACAATAACCCGTGAGGGGAAATATCATTACCCTTTTTTTCCTTTACATGGGAGGGAACAGATTCCGAACGGTTCAGTGGCAGAGCCAGTATGTGATCCTTACTCCACAGTTTGGTGCTCTTAACCCATCAATTTCTGAAGACGGCCCAAAATAACCACTGTTGTAAGGAAACCCCAAGTCTAGAGAAGAGGCTTCCCTGTGCCAGTGTATGCCTGGGTGTATGCCTGGGCACAGGGCTGGGGATTTGCAGCCAGCCAGCCAGCCAGCCAGGGTCCAGCCTGCACAGAACTCTCGTAGGGGGTTCTCCCTGAAGGCTGCGACAGGGTCCACAGGATGAAACCAGCCCTAAAGGGAAAGAGTTGGTCTGAACACCCCCACCCCCGCCCCCACCCACGGACTTTACCTGGCTGTGTACCCTGCTGTGCTTAGGGAACCTTGCCACCCCCTCCCTAGGAGACTGAGGCGCCAGGCTCACCTAACCAGCAGGCACATGATGTATTCCTGACGCCAGGGAGACAAAAGACACTTCCACACAGGGCCCTCTAAAGAAATCAGAGGCCTACAGTTTCTAATGGGATGGGAATGGGCAGGGAGGCCAAGCAGCTTCTTGAGTTACCAGGTCTTTGTCTACAAGCAGTGGTATCCAGTATCTGCCAGGTGCCACAGCTGATGAAGGAAGATGAAAGGACCTACAGCTCTCATACTTTTTTTTTCCATAACACAGCCCTGCCCTCAACAGCTGAGCTTCAGGTCTCCTAGGCAAGGCCCACTGGAGCCCCTTTGCCCTGTCTGCCTTGTAAACTCTTGTTGAGCATCCTAAGCAGCACTGGGCAGTGCCAGGTCATACATCTAGCCCAAGTACCCAGTACAGGGCCTGGCATCAAAGACTGGTATATTTTTGCAAATATGAGGACCCCCCAATATTAGAATCACCAAGAGATGCTTGTTTTTAGGTACTTAAAAAATTATTTGTTTTAAAATTTTGCCTGAATGTAGTGTTATAAATACTGAGGACACTGAATTTCAGCAATTACCATTTACATAGTGTTTTCTTTCTCTCACAGAAGTATGTAAATATTAATTTAAATTAACTTAAAAGTAATTCCCATAAATTCCACTGAAATAAGTGAAATAAATAATATATAGTGATGTGAGATCATCATAGCAAATAGGTGTATTGCATGCTATTATTAACTGCTTTATTTTTATAAAGGAACTTTTTCAAAGCAAAAAAAAGATGCTTGTTTTTAACATGCAGATCTCACTCGTACATACTGCTATATGCATAGATTATTTCAGGAAAGATACACAATAAGTTGTTTGCCTCAGAGGAGGGGAACTAGGTGACTGGGAGGCAGGAGTTGGGGTGATTGTCACTTTATACCCTTTTCTACCTTTTGGATTTAAAACCATATGAATGTATTACATATGTCAAAAAAATTTTCCTTCAAAAAATAAATTGGCATTGGGTCAAGAAAATGCAGATTTCTGGGTCAACTCTTGATCTAATGAATCACCTCCCCTGGAGGCAGGTTTTTCTACCTTTTAAACAAGTCTCCAAGTGATTGTTAAGCCCAGGGCAAGTTTCCAGACCTCTGCAGTAGGGACTCGGCAATGAAACATTGCTAAGAAGAGACCAGCAATGCCTGTCAAAGGTGACTCATTTAGCTCCCTACTTTCTGAATCAACCCTACTCTCCTTCAAACCATCCACTCAGGAGAGACAAGGCAGTTGCTGGACTGTGGGGTACAGTTGGGGATGAGTGACTCATTCCCAACTATAATCACCAGTCTCTGTCTGAAAGTACTGGCCTATTCACAGTCTCTTTGGGGTGTGTGTAGATGGAGGGGTTCAGCCCTGAGAAGGCTGAGGTGTTCTTACTTCAGTCACTCCATACACCACATAATGAAAACTCCTTGTTCTACAGAGGAAGGAAATAAAACCAAAGAGAAGGGACTTTTCCCATGTCACAGAGCCACTGCAGAGAAGGGCTGAGGCTCAGGCCTCAGCTATGCTGCCGCTTATCACAGCCCATATATTGAATTGTAGATCCATCCCTCAAATGCCACAAATATTTTCTGATTTACAACTCTTTCCAGCATACTACCTCGAGGGAAGCTAAAGGCCTTGGATTCAAGCAATCCAGATTTGGGAAAACCTGGCTTTTAGGGTGAAATCATTTCCAGGGATGATTTCCCTTTGTAAATAGCTTCATTAGCTATAAAGGGTTTGCAGGAGGATTCCTACAAGGACCAGCCATCTCAGTGCATCTAAAATGGGACAGAATTCAGTTCACACTCCCTTTCTCAGGTACCTACCACCCAAGGGACAGACTTTGGGTTCTAGACTCTGCATGTGTGTTCCAGCCCATAGGACAGCATGCAGAGATCCCCTGGCTGCACTCTGCTACTGTGTCAACTTTCTTAGTCTTGCTCTCCTGATAGAATGGTAAGCACAGCAACTCTGTTATGTGATCTTGGGTAAGTTATTTCTCCTCTCTGAGCCTCACTTTCCCCTTGTGGGCCCCTCCTTCCTCCTTTTTGCCAAACTCTAAGCCTTCTACCTAAAATCAGACCATCTTATTCCAGAGGAAAGAGTGCTGAATGCAAAGAAAAAAACAGTCCAGTTCTTGGATCCTGATTTGCAAAATGGACTCTCGAAACGCAAAGCTTTTTAGAGCAAGAAAGTTTTTTTTGGAGCACTGAAAGCCCAAGAGGCTAAAGGACTCGAATCTTAAATTTTTATTATTATTTTTTAATCTTCACCCAAGGATATATTTTTTCCATTGCTTTTCAGAGAGAGGGAAAGGGAGGGAGGGA